GAATATTGGTTTCCCTTGCCTACTCCTGCAAAATAGACCCTTGAGTGGGATAGAAAGGAATCTCGGGAAACATGATTATAGAAAGCTGGTAAGCCCGTCCTCAGCCTATAACTGACCGGAATACCTAGAACTTGCCCAGTGAAATAGGCTTCCTGTGGAGCCTTGGTAATCTATAGGACCTTAGGTGGAATCCTGAACCCCATCCAGAACCCTCGGAAGTGGGACATTCTTACCTGAAAGGACAAGCAGACCAGCCTGGAATAGTTACAGAAAGAGAAGCTACTACTTCAAAGAAAGATCAGCAGGAAAAATCGCAAACAAAAATGGCAGTCTGATTGGCTGCTACAAGAACAAGCAAGTTGTTCTCTGGGGAGTCATCAAGGCAAGCAATCAAGTCCCTTGAAGACAAACCCCCCTCCAAGACTGAAACTCAATGGGAACACATGAGCAGGCATGTAAGCTTACTGATGACCACGTTGGTCTCCTAGTGAGGGGATGAGGGGATGAGGGGGAAAGGCAGCAATGAAGACATGGGCCAAGTTCGACCACATTCCACAGACTCCTGTTGACCTGGAGATGAGAGAGAAGAGGAAGGGTTGGCTGGTCCAAAGTGTGGTGAGACCTGTGGACTCCTGAGCCCATGGACAAGGACATAGCCACAGAGGGCTGGAGTTGAGAACGAAGTGCTCAGCTGATATGAAGTGAGGGGAGACCCACAGAAATGCCCAAACTTATAGATAGTACCCATTCGACCTGGCTTTCATGGCTTGATGACCAGAACTCGCCCAGAGAATATAAAAGAAAAGAAAAGTAAAAAAAAAATTTTTTTTTTTTTTGATAAAGGAAACAAGTGTAAATCACTATAAGTTGATGAACTTGACCTATACTTATGGGTGTAGTAGCTCAAAATACCAACCGAGAAGGAAGGAGTCCTCACATCCAAAATCAATCCTATCCACTCTGTATACAAGGTTGATAGGGACTGGCAACTTAGACATTAGCTACCTTAAAATGGGAGGGGCTATAAAGGCACAAAGTGACTGGCTTACAAGTTTTCAAGAGAGAGTTTAGTTTTAGAGTGTGGGGGGAAGGTAGAATCCCCACTGCATAGTTTTCATCTTGTCTAGACGGGTCTGGTGAAAGGAGATGCAGATACAATTTTTATGATTCAATAGTGAGTAATTGTTATCATGACTAATTGCGACTGTCATAACTGTAAAGGCAGAAGTTTTGTAACAAAAAGAGGGAGGTAGTTAATCTTACTGTCCAGGAACACAGACCCCTAGGACAATCAAGGGAGAAGAGCACGAGCAGAATGTGGGACCCTATCCAGAGAGGCATCAACACCAGAGATGGAGACAGAGATGAAGGCATGGAGAGAGAGAGCAGCTGAGGACTCTAGACTCATGGAAAGAGAAAGGCTGTATGCTGGTAGCCAGATGCTGGTGGCCAGGAGGCAGGCTTGCAGATTGTGCCCTTTGGTTGTTTAAATGATCATATATTCCTGAGTGATTTTGTGTACATCTCTCCCCACCAAAAAACAAAAAACAAAACAGAACAGAGGGAATAGAAGCAAATACTGTTGACTGATGATGCATGGAGGAGATCGTGGTCATTGCAAAGAAACGAGTGTAAAACTGATGTACCCCAATGTAAACGAATCACTCAATTCACAATCAAAACTTAAAAGAAAAGTGTTACAGTCGATGATGGTTCAAGTATACGTGGAGCAGGAAAAGGCTTAGCTGGATGAAGTTACAAAGTTTGTGAAGATGTAAAGTGCGTAAAGCCCATGGCTCTTCCTTCTGTGATTCGTCAGCAGGTACCTTGTAGGAAATATTTGAATCACTCGTGGGTTCTTGAACCAGTCAAGTCAGCAGTGGGCTCTGCTGTCTGGATGCCAGTTCTGTGAACTTTTCTCAGACACGCAAGCTGAGCACTCTGACTAGGCAGGAGAAAGATGAGGTTTTTCATCTTTCAGTTTCAGAAATCATATACGGGGTCCCTGTGAGTCGGAACCAACTTATAGCAGCACTAACCTTGACCAGGAGGGGCAGTGGTGTGTGCCCCCTGGATCTGAGATGTACCCACATTTGATGGGGTGTACTGTGTCCCCTGTAAAGATACGTTCAAATCCTAAATGGGTACTTGTGAATTAGACTTTGCTAGGAAATAGGGTCTTGGGAGATGTCATCAGCCGGCTTTAACATGGGATCATAGTAGAGTAGAAAACCAAACCCACTGCCACCGAGTTAGCACCAACTCACTTCAGCCCTATATAGAATCTGGGTGTCCAAGATTGCAGATGTTTATGGGGAGCAAATAGTTTCATCTCACTCCTGCAGAGCAGCTGGTGGATTTGAACCGCTAACCTTACACCATGCCACCTTATACTGGAGTAATGTCTTATAGGAGTGATGTTCTCATAAAAGATGAGCGACACAGAAGGAGACAATGAGGAGGAACCAGGAAATAAACTCTGCGGACTCCTAGCTTCACCCCCTGAGAAATGGGAGAGCCAGATGGAAGGATCAACACCGTGTGGACCAAGGGGAGGCCAGGGCAGTTCTCCAATCAGCTGCTCCCGTCTCAGGATGGCCCAGCCCTGACCCAGTGCCAGCCACTGCTCCGGGCAGGGTCCCACCCATGCATTCCTGCTTTGTTAGCTGCAGCCACTCCCAGTTACCCAGGCAGGCCCGTTTGCTCCCCTGGGGAGTCCCAGGGACCCAGACCATTGGACCAGCCCCACTTCCCAGTGGTGGACACTGAGACACAGAGGGACCAGACTTGGTGGGTCACCCTGAAAGGTGAGAGTAATCAAAGGGACCCTGAACCCTGGAAGGGACCATCAGGGTGTGTGGGAGCACTGTGGAGGGAGGGTCTCCCCAGGGTTCAGCGTAGTACCAAACCCAGCATCCACACTACCCCAGGGTTACCCCAGGGGTGACTGTGACCTCTTTTGTGGGGGTGTGCCTGGGATTAATGGTGGGGGAGGGAGATGAGGGCCAGGAAACCTCCATCAACCCTCTGGCCAAGTCTGTTCCAGGTGGGGGCAGGGATTAGTCCGTGGCACCCTGAAAGGGGGCCTGGACCGGTCCCAAACCATGCAAGCTGGAGAAATTGGGGTACTCCTAGTACCCTGCCCCGTGCTGATGCCCCCTCCTCAAGTCTTCACTACATGGAGAGAGGGGCAATGCTGCCCCCTCCTCAGAGAGTAGCATCCTGGAGCCATCGTCTCTCCTCACTTGAGGCTGCTGCTGTGTGATCCTAAGCTGTTCCCTGTGTCTCTGTGCTCAAGGAGAGACCTGAGGTTGGCAGGGAATGTGTCTGACCTGGGAACATGGTTGGATGGAGGTGGGAGATTATGCAGGTGGTGGGGTAGGTGGACAAAGAAAGTGCCTCCACTAGTGTGTCCTGGACTGTCTCCACATCACACACTGTTCTTAGGAGCTTGTGGTTCACTCAGACCCCAGATTCCACCTGGGGAGTAGGGAGGGTGGCAGGGTGGGGCAGGGGGACAGGGACAGGCCAGAGCTCTCTATTGCTGGGCCCCATAGTTCTGGAAAGGGCCCAGTCCTTCCTGCTCCACAATGCACCCAATGCCTGGGCAGGGACCATGGCGTATGTAATAGCAGCAAGGGGTACAGGACCAGAAATCTGGGACCTTTCCTCAGTGTGCCCCCACTGAGGTCTCTGACACTAAGTGAGGATGCAGGTGGACAATGGAGCATTGTGGGGACTCTTCATGTTCTGGACTTCTGTCTCCATTGTCCACGTGAATTCCCTGCCCTGAACGGTGGTCACTGTGTGGTCCTGGCCAGGTGGATATGCAGAGGCTGTGCAGGGTAACAGTGATGTAAGGGAGTCTGGGGGGTTCTTTGGCGGCTACTGCTAGGAATCAGAAGGCAGTAGCTGCTGTGTGGTGCCCAGTCACGTTGGGTCTTCTATGGATTGAGGGAGACTGCAGGGGAGGGCACATTCTGTGCCTGGTCACATCCACCCTAGGTGGCCAAAGCCCACTGTCTACTCTTTGGTTTGGAGGTTGGGTTTTCTTCAAACTCCTTGGAGTCTGTGCAGCCTCAGGAACCTCTCATCTTGGCAGGGGGACACCTGAAGTCAGGGGTCACTCCTCAAGGCCCCTTGCAGGTCCTCAGTTGGCACAGTTGATTCTTTGACTATGTTTGAAACAGAACCCTCCTCTCTTATTTCTGAGTCCCTGGTAAGGCAGGCACAAACTTTGGTGAAACTTTGGGGGGCTACCCTCCCCTCCCTAGGCAGCACCCCATTTGGTCCTCTGGGCAGGGGAGATACTAGATTCTTGCAGGCCCATCTTGCATCCCCCACTGCAGGAAGACAATCTTCAGGTAGGGGCTCCCACCGACCCTGTCTGCAGACCCCAAGTCCCAGCCGCAAAGAACCTACACTCCAGCCCAAGTGGCCCCATGTCTATTCCTGAAAATGGGTCCAAAGCTCAGGGTGAGGCTCCACTCTCACCTTATCTCTTCTTCCCCCTGTGTGGAAGAGGCTCAGAGAGAAACCCAGGAGTGATCCCCTCTCTGTGGCAGGCTGCCCTGCCCATGCCATCCTGTTCTGAGTGCTGTTTACACCACGATTCTGGTTCCCAGAAAGCTGAGGGCATCGGCGGGTAGACAGCAAGGCTGCAATGGGGAAGGGCCCTCTGGCTACGCAGCACACTGTGTACACGGTTAAAACTGAGGCTGGCTGGGGCGGAGGCAGCCCTGCCCGCCTCCTAGGCTGAACTTCAGTGCCCCCTGCCCGCCTCCCCCCCAGACAGTGGCAACACCCAGTTGGAGGTCCTCAAAGGAGTGGGTGGGGGGCAGGTGTGACTCAGAGAATGCCTGGGGCAGGAGGGGCCACTTCCTGGAGGGGCAGGGCCAGTGGATCGGCTGTGTAGACTAAGTGGCGGTGTCTTTAGAAGTGAGTCCTGGGCAGTCAGGGTCACTGTCCCCCACAGGACATGGCCTTGCAGACTGGGTCCCATGGTACCCCCACCCATCACAGCTTCCTCCTCCTCCTCAGCCTTGGTGAGTAAAAGGGGGTCCACTCAAGGAGTTGGAGAGTCAGAAGGGGTTTTGGGAATAACTGCATCCCCCACTGTCCCTGCCCCCAAGTCCCCCTGGGCTGCCCCCCGCCCCCACTGAAGCCCATACCTTGTACAGGCTGAGCAGGGGCAGTGAGAGGCTGGGGCCAAAGCAGGCTGCTTGACCCCCTGAGCAGCTGAACCTTAGGAGGAAGGCATCAGGCACGTCTCCCTGGTAGGGTGGGTTGGGTTGTGCCTGGGTTTGGGCACCAGCCTGGGGCCAGGATTCAGCTCCTCGCCCCCAGAGTCAGGGCCTGGGGCGGTCAAACCCCATACACTCACCCAAGCCTTGCACCCCATGCAGGGTGGTGGGTGCTACCTTCTGGGATCCAGGCCACAACGACTGGACAGGTGAGTCCCCTCAGGGTGGGGAAGAGTGTCGTGGGTCTGGGAGGGGGTCCTGGACTGCATGGGGTGGGTGAGGCTGGCCCATATTTATACACACACACAGAGGTATACATGCCGCTGCATAGACTGGGCCTGAGGTCAGACCAGCCAAGGGGCAGCTGGCCTTGGGCATCAACTGGCTGCTGTGCAGGACCTGCTGCCATCTTGGCCCCCCCCACGCAGTGTCCCCCAGGTGGGACCCCATCCTGATCTGCCCTGTCCTCAGGACGTTTTGCCTTCGAGACTACGCCGTACCACTGGGGACCCTAAGCTGCCTGCTGGTCTTCTGAGAACTAGACCAGCCCAGCTGCTAAAGGCCATAAAGGAAGGTGAGACATGTGCTCTTCCTGGGGGCCAGACAGAGGGACGAGGGACACAGTCAGCACAGAAGCTCACTGCCGCCCCATCTGTCCCCCTGCAGAGCAGGGCTGCCCTCCAGGGAAGGAGGTCCATGAAGTGGATGAAATGCTGGTCTTCTACTCGGAGACAGAGCTGCAGGCTTGTGTGCATGGCCCCCTGCTGGCCTCACAGCTGGACCGGGTGGACGCCATCCCTTTCACCTATGAACAGCTAGCTGTTCTTAAGATCAAGCTGGACAAGGTAGCTTGAGAGCTCAGACTCCCACTGGTCAGCCGCTGTGTCCGCGCACCCCATGGTCTTCCCGTGAGAGACGGAGGCTCTCAAGGGCCTGTCCCTGTGCAGACCTATCCACAGGGCTACCCTGAGGACGTGGTCCAGAGACTGGGCTCCCTATTCCTGATGGTCACTCCGGATGACATCAACAAGTGGGATGTGAAGTCCTCCGAGACACTGAAAGCCCTGCTCCGAGTCAGCAGAGGGCAAAGTGGGCGTGCTCAGGTGACCACTGCCTGGGGGCACAGTGCAGGTGTAAGGGTGTGCAGGTGGGATGGGGGGAGGGAGGGTGTGCAGGTGGGTGGAGGGAGGAGGAAGCTGGGTGGCAGGTCTCCCTCTGTCCACAGGTGTCTCAGCTGCTTCTCCCACAGGTGGCTGCCCTCATAACCCGCTATGCAGCGGGAGGGGCCCAGATCAACGAGGGCACCCTAGCCATGGTGGCCACCCTCAGCCCAGCCTCCCTCTGCCTGTTCAGCCCAGAGCAGCTTCGCCTCTTGCAACCCCACATCCTTTGGTGAGTCCCCAGAGGATGGTAGGGCATGGTAGGTGAGCTGGGCTCTGCTCACTGCCCTGTGTCCCCTCAGGGAGGTTGAGTCTGGGGCCCTGGAGGACTGTCCACTGTTACAGATGAAGGTCCTCTACAGCAAAGCCTACGTCGCCTTCCAGAACATCACTGGGCCCAGCTACTTTGGGAGGATCCGACCCTACCTGGGTGAGCCTGGAGCCCTGGGCAAACAGGGAGACCAGAGCTGCTCCCTACTGTAAAGCTGACCACTAACACATGACTGGGTGGATCTGTGTCCTCAGTCCACACGTGTGTGGTGGAGCTCTGCTCCATGAGGCGTACCCCCAACCATCTCCCTGTCCTCCTCTCACAGCCTGCCCCCAGTAACTCACCGAGTGGATTCGGACTCACAGTGACCCTGTGGGACACAGTAGAGCAGCCCCGTGGGGTTTGCAGGGCTGAGTCTTTACGATAGTGGACTGTACACCTTCTCCCCTGAAGCCCCTCCACTGAGCTTCCGAGCAGCCCAGCATCCCCACCCGGATGAGGGAATTTCTATGGGGAATGAGCAGGGGACTCTGGGGGTTATCTTGGGGGGCTTCATGTAGCCTCAGGTCCCCTCTCCCCACGTGGCAGGAGGGGTCACCACGGAGCACCTTCGTTCCCTCAGCCGGCGGAACATCAGCATGGACATCACCACCTTCAAGGAGCTGAGGAAAGAGTCTGTGCAGGTAGGGTGGGCAGGATGCATGGTGGGGGAGGCTCGGCTTGCGGACTGGGAAGCAGGGAAGGTATGCCCGAGACCCTGATGGCCTCCCTGGGGGTCTTGAGCAGCCCTTGACGGTGGCTGAGGTTAAGGCGCTGCTGGGGCCACACGTGGTGGACCTGAAGGCGGAGGAGCGGAACAGCCCCGTGTGGGACTGGATTGTTGGGCAGCGGCAAGAAGACCTGGACTCGCTGGGCCTGGGACTTCAGGGTGGCATCCCTAATGGCTACCTGCTGGTGGCCCTGGGTGCCCAAGGTGGGCGTGGCTAGCTGGCTAACAGGATTGTGGACTGGGCATGTCTCTGAACAGAGGTCCTCTCACTGGGCCTGTGCCGTGAGCTGGCTGGTCATCCCCACCCCACCCTGAGGTCCCCAATAAATGAGGCCACGTACCCTGCAGAAGTGACCTTGGAATTATGACATCGCAGATCGGGTCAGAGTGGGACTTGGGGGCTCTCTGGGTTCTGGCAGGATCTGGCAGCTGTGACCACCCGCCCCCATAAATATGCCTTCTTCAGTCTCCCATTCACACTGGGAAAGGAGGTCTGAGGGTGGGTCTTTCCAACACCATGAAGGATGGGACTGCAGGGGTTTTATTCCTGAGCCTCCAGCCACAGTGTGCAGTGGCCTCAGAGGCTGGTCCCTGGTCCTCTTCTGTCCCCCACTGCACCCCCCGCTCAGAGCAAAGGGACACACAGGTGGGGACAGACTAGAGCTTTATTCACACGTATCAGCGAAGTTGCTGACATTGAAGCCCTCCACCCAGTCCCTCCTGCATCTAGGAAGGTTGGGACAGTGGTCCTGGTACCCACAATGCCTCAGTCCAGCTCCAGGAGGCTGAACAGGAATGGGGCCAGGCCTTCAGGGCCCCGGGTCCCCCACTTCTCTCTGTGTGCCCGGTCTGTGCACCTGGTCTCCCTGGAGCAGGGATGTCTACCCAGGCTGCGGTGTGGGCTTCAGTGGGCAGGCCTGGGTGGGCACAGGGGCATCTGGTGTAGCAGCCACAGGAGGCTGGAAGGCAGGAGAAGGACCAGCGGCAGGGACGCCAGGTGTGCTCGAGGAATTCCTGCAACACACAGAGTGGGGGTCTCTCAGCCCCTCACCGCGCTCCTGGCTCACCCCTTCCTGAGCGCGGAGAGGGCAGGCCCTCCCTGCTCTGGGAACCTGAATGGGGTGTTGTGTCCCTAATGACTCAGTGGTGAGAGGGAGTGGAACTGTGGGAACAAAGTGGGCAGATAGTGATCAGGACCATTGTGCCCCCCTCACTACCAGCAGGGATGCCAGTGGGTATTGGGACATGTGAGGGGCACCTGAAGTCGGGGTCTCAGCATCATTCATGGGCTGGTCTGAGGGGTAGGCGGGGTGGGGTGGCCGGGGCTTGATGTTCAGGGTCTCCTGGGTCATGAAGGCTGAGTCTGAAGAGCTGACAGCGTTGTTATCCAGGCCCAGCTGGTGCAAGGCTGAGCGGCTCAGGCCATCCAGCCATCTGCTGACGATCGGGAGACTGCGTACCTTCTGCAGATCCCCCACATTCTGACCCAGCAGGGTCATCACATTGTCTGCACTGAGGTTCTGTGGGAACAGGTGGGCGGGAGATGGAAGATTCCTCAGAGCCAGCGGGACAGTCAATGCTTAACCCAAGGACGGGAGGGACCACACTAACTGCACACCTCTGAGGTTCAAGGAGGAGATGGGGGGCTGTGCCCTGGAGCTTTGGGGACCCCCCTCCCCCATAGTCCTCACACACCAGCATCACCCGGGGGTTGAGATTCGTGAAAGTGTCAATATCCAGAGAGACGTTGCCCTGGGCCAGATGCTGCAACTCCTCCACCGTGGCACCACCTGGGGGGCGGGGACACAGCAGTCAGAGGGGATGGGGGAGGGCTGGGGAAGGGGCTGCATGCAGGGGGGCTCACCGAGGTATGGGCGCATGAGGTGGTAGTACTTGATTGCAGGCATGGTGTCACGGAAGGCCTCTTGGGCCTTGGCATAGAGCACGTTCTTCCGGCTTTGTGGGCAGGCAGAGATGTCCGGGGCCCCGGCCAGCCTGGGGGGCGAAACCAGTGAGCAGGTCATAGCCCCTACCTTCCGGATGCCTGGCTGGGCCCTTGTTCCCCGAATCTCATCTCCCTCTGGATTTCTGTGGCAGGATGGATGGATGTATACTGTCCTCCATCAATTCACATTGACCGCAACTTCGGTATTTGACCTTGTTTGGAAATGCGGTCTTTGCAGATGGGATTAGTTAACATGGGGTCATTCTGGGGCAGGGTGGGTCCTTGTAAGAAGAGCCACAGAGTGCGGGGTGGGGGCACAGGGGAGAAGTCCTGTGAGGACAGAGGCAGAGGTTGGGGGGTGGGGGATGTGGCCACAGCTGGGGACTATGTGGGGCTACCGGAAGCTGTAAGAGGCAAGGACCTTCTCTGGAGCTTTCATGGGGAGTGGGACCCTGAATTCAGACTTCTGAGCTGCAGAATACACTGAAAGAATAAATGTCCCTTGTTTGAAGCCATTCACTTGTGCTCCTTTGCTATGGCCGGCCCGGGCCAGCCCTCTGACCAGCTCAGCCCTCTCTCCCTGAGCCTCAGTTTTTCCTTCATGGTCCTCTTAGCTGACTCCAGGTTTTTGTGAGGTGACAGGTGGGACCTTGGGCACAGTGATGGGGGTCTCACCGGAACTCTGAGGGCCGAATGGTCTGGATCTGTCGGGGACTCATCCAGCAGAGGCGGGAGCCCCCAATGGCTATGAGCAGAGGGCCAGTGAGGGTACCGTTGTGGTCCAGGTACTTCTGTAAGACAGCCTACAGGTGTGTGTGTGTGGGTTCAGTATCTAGGCCCCGGCCAGGGAACTCAGGGTCTCAGGAGTTCCCACCCCACTGCCGCACCTCAGTCTGGTTGTCCAGGGCCACGTCAGCCGCCAGCAAGGCCAGAACGGTGCTTAAGGACGTGATGTTCCATTGTTTAATCTCAGTGCTGGAGTACAGGTAGACCAGAGAGGTGATTCGCTTCAGCTGGTCCTCAGGGATCCCGTGCGGGTAGATCTGTGAGAACAGGTCAGGCTGCCCTTCATCTTCGGCCCTGTTCACCACACCTGACCCAGCTCAACCTTGACCACCCGCTGTCCCCACACCTGGCCCAGCTTGGCCTTGACCACCCGCCATGCCCACCCACCTGACTCAGCTTGGCCTTGACCACTCGCTGGCACTCAGCAGGCAGTGGCTGCTGTAGCAGGGGATCTAGATTGGCCCGGAGCACCCGGGTGTCCAGGCAGGACTCGAGCTGTGGGCAGTCATAGCGTACCAGGAAGAGGCCATCCCGGAGGGTGGTGGCTGTGATATCACCTTGGAGGCAGGCTCTCCCTGTGGTGGTGAGGCTGGCTTGCTGACCAGTCTTTGAGGCCTACCTTTGACCCCACCTTCCATCTTGACCCCAACCAAGAACTTGATCTCAACCATTGACCCCGTCATCCTGAAGACCCTACTGAACTTCTAGCCCAACCCCAGACCCCTGGCCCTTGGTGGCCACTGACCTGTGCCCCGTCTGGACCTCGGGGATGCCACCTTGGCCTTGAGGAAGCCAGTGACGAAGCGCCTGGCGTCACGAGGGCCAAGCCGCCCTTCCCGGAATGCAGTCACCGAGCTTCGGAAAAAGTCCAGGCCCACGGCCTGGCAGTAGGGGGGTGACTCTCCTCCAGGGCCACTGACACCCTCTCCCCACGGGCAGAGACCCCATGACCCACTGACTGGTGAACCCTAGGCCTAGTACAGACTGTCAGGGGAACCACTGGATACCCCTCGGGGCCCTGCTCCCACCCAGAACACTGTGTCCTACCTCAGGCACCCGCGTCCACAGCCGGGGGCTGATATGGATGGCCAGGGGTCCCAGGGCCTGCAACCCCTCCAGGTTCCAGGAGTCTGGGGACCTGGTTTGAAGGAACGGAGGTTGTGGGGGCCCGGAGCAGTGCCCTGTGAGCATGGCTGCCTCTTACCAGCTGGAACTCATTGAAGAGGTCAAGTCCCAGGATGAGTTCCCAGCTTGGAATCCCCTGAGAGAGGGATGGGGGTCCAAACAGCCCCGTTCCATCCCCCACACCGGTGCCCCGTGGACTGCACGGTCGGAGAGAGACTCAGGGCTAGGGTTGGAAGTCAGTGGCGCAGCAGGACTGTGAACATCAGTGACCACCTTGGCCCAGTCCTGGCCTGTCTTCCCATCTCATCTCTGAGGAGAGGTGTCCAGGAGTGGGGGGTGTCTTCCTAAGACCCCTGCTCACCCCAGCTTGGTCCTTCCACTGGCCAGTAGCATGTTGAGGGCATCCTGCTGGGTGGTGGTCAGCCGGGAGCAGTTCTGCAGGTTCTGCAGGACTTGGGGGTCAGCGGTCACGATGCTGGCTGCGTCCATGTCACACACCAGACCCCCGAGCAGGAGCAGGTGCGAGGCGCTGAGCTGAGGCCCGGGACTTCCCTGCAGGCAGCAGGTCAGTGCCGAGCCAAAGGACTGGGGTCCCACCCCACTTCCCGCTTGGGCACCCACCAGGCAGTCCAGGGCCATGCGCTGCAAGGCGACCCTCTGGTCAGGCAGGTTGGCCAACAGCTCTGTGTCTCCCTGGCCGGCATGGCGTGTGAAGGCTTGGCAGTCATCTGCCGTCACCTGGGTCAGGCTGTGGATAGCAGGGGTCTGTGGGAAGTGTGGGGGGGTCCCCTTCCAGAGTGGACGCACAGAAGAGGGGGTGACCCGGGAGGAGGCTGTGCTCCCCTGGGCGGTGGGACTGGGAGAGAGTGGGGGTTGCAAGTGGTCACTTACTTATAAAAGAGAAGCAGGTTCGGTGGGTGCAGCTCAAAATCATCCTGGAGGCCACGCTGCTCCACGAGGTTGGCCAGGCAACTGAGCTGGGTGGGCAGTGGGGGTTACTCCTTCACCTGTTCCCCACGCCCAGCCCTAGTGTCCCCTCCTTCTGCTCCCTCAGCCGAGTCTCCAGCCCATCTCTCCCTCTGCCTGGACCCACGGCCTCACTGCCCACTCTGTCCGATCCATCCTTCCCCATCTCCAGCACACAGCCTAGCACTCCCCACCCCTGCCCCCAGCCCTCTAAAAGGAAGTCGTTGTCTTCACAGCCCTGCCTGCCTGCTCTGTGGTCAGCTGAAAAGTTTTTAGTCAGCTCCTCTAGAATCTTCTGCCAATCTCATATTAACCGAACCCAAGAAAGACATGGCTGGAAAGGCGGTCTCCTGACAAGCCAGGTCAGTGCCGGGATGAGGGACTTTACGTTCTGTGGCTTGTAATCAGTGACATGAAACAAAATGTGTGTGAGTTGTTGAAAGGAAGGCTGATCTGCTTTGTGACCTGTCACACAATTCACGGTAAAGAGCGAAGATAAAATAAGTTTCCACAAAACTGCACCCAGATGCCGCCCTAGGGAGATGACTACCCTAGGGTACACCCAGCAGGAAACGCCAGAGGGGATCCCCAAGAGAGTGAGACCTCCCTCCCACAGAGGAGAGAAGAGAAGGAAAACAGGATAACTTAACACTCCCCCTAAACATTCGCTGTCGTTGTTAGCGCGTCGAGTCGGTTCCGACTCAGTGACCCTGTTCAGGGTTTCTGAGCTTGGACATCTTTTTGGAAGCAGAAAGCCTCATCTCTCTCCTTGTGGACTTGAACTTCTGGCCTTGTGGTTTGCAGTTCAGTGCTTATCCTACAGAGCCACTGTGCTCCCCCCTAAACTTTGATAACACCTGTAAGTTTGAAATGAAGATGCAGCACATTGATACCTGCAAACAGGCGAAAACAAGACCAGAGAAACACCGGCAGCAAAAGCGCACACTGTCCATCTTGTGTTTCTCAGCCGTTTGTTCCTCACGTTCCTGAGGAAACCCAGGAGCGGTCCTGTTTATAGACCTACCCGCCCAGGGTAACAACACAGAGAAGTGAGAGAGGACGATGGGAAGAGGGGTCCTGTAAGGAGACCTGACCCACAGGCAGAGCCAAGCTCACAGTGGAGGGACAGACACAGTCAGCTGTGAGTTCAATGTCCAGCTATAGGAAAACAGTGTGTCACAGGCTTAAAAAGCAAAATATAGGAAATATAGGAAACATAGGAAATACCACCAAACCATGGCCGTCAAATCCTCCCGATTCACAGAAACCTTTTAGGACCAAGTAGGACTGGGTTTCCAAAGCTGCAAACCTTTAGGAAAGCAAACTGCCTCATATTTCTCCCTCAAAGCGGCTGGTGGGTTCAAACCGATGGTCTTTTGGTTAGGAGCCAAGTGCTTTAACCACGGCATCACCAGAGCACCTTAAAAATACCGTATGGCCAGCAATTCCACACCCTAGAGATTTGGAAGCAGGGAGGCACACAGGTTCAGGTGCATAGACAGCCCCCAAGGTGGACACGCCCAACTGTCCATCAGCACATGATGGACAAATACAATGGGAGATGGCTGTGTTGGGTGCTAATGAGTCCATTCCAACTGATGGTGACCCCCGTGCCCAACAGAATGAAACCTGCCCCGTCCTTTACCATCTTCCCAATTGCTGTCATGTTTAAGCCCATCACTGAAGCTCAGTCCATCTTGCTGAGGGTCTTCCTCTGTTTTGCAGACCCTCACTTTACCAAGCATGATGTCCTTCTCCAGGGACTGGCCCCTACTGATTATATGTCCAAAGTCTCACCATCATCACGTCCAAGGAGCATTCTGGCTTTGTTTCTTCCAAGGCAGATTTTTTTGTTCTTCCAGCAGTCCACAGTGCCCTAAATGTTCCTCACCAACACCATCATTCCACTAACTAACAGACAGACAAACGGACAGACAAGTGGTGGCCATGGATATTACTCCATATCCATAGCCATAAAACGAAGGAAGTCTTGACGGATGAACCCTGAACACGGAGTGAAAGATGCCAGACACAAAAATCTAATTATTGGATGCTTCTGCTTTCATGAACATTAACAAGCAAAGCTATCAATTCAAGGATTAAGGTGCCCTAATCCAAACCACAGTATTTTCCATCGCCTCATATCCATTTGAAAGCTGGATGATGAATAAGGAAGACTGAAGAAGAATTGGATACATTTGAGGTGTGGTTGGTAAAGGATATGGACACAGGTATGACGTAACAGACAAACCCGAGTCCCCAAGAAGAACACAAGGCAGGGGGGACTGCGGGTGAATTGGCTAAAATATCCTAGAAAGTCCAAAGTGAATTGATCAGGGAAAGACCACCCAAAGGGAGGGCAACAGGCCTGGAGGGGTCGGACTTCCTGGTACGTTGGTGTGGACTTAAGAGTTGCCTTCTGGGCCATTCTGAGGTAGATAGCTTTGCAGAATTTCCAGAACTTTCCCTGAGCTCCGGCGCCCTGCACTCACACATTCACAACCAGCCTGGTGGTCCTGAAGCACAGCCTCTGCCTGGAGACCCTCTCCCCACCCAGGTCCCTCCTGCGTGCCTCCTTGTCCAGGGCTCCGCTGGGTCCTCACCTGCCAGGCTTCCAGGACCACTTTCTGGGCAGCCATTCTTCTGACCAGAGCTGACAGCTGGTCCCGGCTCAGCTGGCTAGCCGGCTGACACCAAAAGTCACGTAGGAGGGCTGAGTTATCACTGGGCAGAAAGGAGAAGGTGTGAGGGGCTGAGGAGCAGCAGCTGTGGAGCTGTCTCCTAGCAATGGGGGACTTAGGTACTGAATGTGCTGTCCTGGAGAGGCCTTGGAGCCCAGGGCAGGCCATTCATTCATTATGTGTTCATTCATTCATTCATTCATTCAGTCTTTGATGTGGCTGGACTCGGGATACGGCTTCTGGTTTGCTCATCCATTCAATTGTTCATTTGTCTCCAAAGCCCAGTCACCAATGACTCTGTGTTCATATACTCCGTGCTCCAAGGACCCTGGCCTGTTGCTGAGGGAATTGGAGGAGGGGGCCTGGCAGGGTAGTCTAAGGAGGGACTTGGGGATTCCCACTGAGACTTCAAGGTCAGGCCAGCATCACAGCTGGATGAACCCTGAGGGTCAGGGGGGAAGAGGGACCTGGTCAGTTGGGGTGAGTGACTAGTTGACTGCAGCCTGGCCACTGGCACCCCCACCAGGAGGGCACTCTTCCCTCATCCCGGGCCTGTGAAGCTTGTGGGCCCTTCAGGACGAGTCCTTGGCCTGGCACTCACCTGTCCCACTGGCCGAGCCTGTCTGTGTCCACCACACCCTGGAGGAGGCCGCCGGCCAGGGTCTGTAAGCTGTGGACTGTGAGGAACATCAGGAGAGCAAGGCCTGAGCTGTCCAAGACACCTGGAACCGAGGCTGCCATCAGCACTCGGGGCAGCCTAGGACCCCCACCATGGCCCCATGGAGGCAGCCTGTGTCAGAGGGGGCTCCCCATGCCTAACCAGGTCCCCCTGCAGGATCTGGGATATCTGGCCCACATTCCAAGGGGCCTTGGTGACAAAGAGGTTGAGCGTCTGACAGGTCGGTGGTTGGAAGACACCAGCTCCTCCGAGGGGCAGGACGACTGTCCTGGAAGGTCATTGGGTCAGAACTCACTAGACAGCAGTGAGTTTGTGTGTGGGTTTGGGCCACCTTTCTGCCTTGGAAACCCCACCAGGAGCTGGGGTGCAAACCCCACATAGTGCCAGCTCCACGAAGAACTATCAAGGTCACTCACTGCCCCAGCACTTGAAGGGTCCCGTGGAAGTCGGTCTCAGCAGTGGGAGCCCCTGAAAGCCTGGCCCACTGCCTCCAGTTCACTGGGGGGCTCCATTACTTTGGCACCTGGTGGTCCCCCCTCCCTCCCTCCTTGGGGAACCATAGGAGGCCTCAGGCAGGGGACGTGTTACCTGCCCAAGGGCCCATGACTGCTCGGCCGGTTAGGGTGGTCCTGGCTGAGGCTGTCCCAGCGCGGGAAGACGTCCTTCTGGACAAGCTGGAGGGAGGCAGAGGGAGGTGACGCGGTGCCTCCCTCCACCCCCTTGGCTCAGCCACAGCCAGGGAGCACTTTCTGGAGGTCACAGGGCTGCATCGGCCTCCCTGGTCTTTGAGAGGGGAAACCTGACAGATAATAAGTCGTTTTGGAACAAAAGGGAACAGTAAGGAGGGGCCGGGCTATCTTGGGGCCTTTCTTATCACAGGTCGAGGCTCAGGGGACTGACAAGCAGCAGCAACAGCTTTCCAATTAGAGAGACAAACAGAGATGGGGAGGGTGCTACAGTCCCAATAACAGCATCTGACTGGGAGACCAGGGGGCTCCTCAGCTACCCGGGGCTGCCCACCTCTCCTTGTCCCCACTGCTATGGTTGGGCAGGTCCTCTCCCATGTCTAGTGCCTTGCTGTGGACAAGACCTGCCCTGGGCAGATGGACTGAGACCAAAGCTATGAGTTTCAGGGACAAAGGTCCAGGGATGTCAGGAGATATCAGGACTCTACAAACATCCCAGGAGAAAGACAGTGGTGCTATCTCCCTCCAGCCCTCGGCAGGGGACAAAACTGAGGCTCCGAGAGATCCAACCACTTGCTCATAGCTGCCCAACGGTACAACCCCGCAGCCCCATCCGCTCACCTGAGGCTGCAGGTGGAAGAAGTTTGGAGCCCCTGGCCCACTACACTGTTGTCAGCTTGTGCAGCTGAGCCCCGATGTGTAGGGGCTTGGCAGGGCAGGGACTCGGGGGTCTCTGTATTCCTCCATGCCTCCTAGCCCACAGGCGGCACGCCAGTGCCTCTCGCTCACCACCCACTCCTGTGGAGCTGTTACGGGGTGGAGACACGCTGTGGTACCACCCCCCAGGGGGCCCTAGGTACAGCGGGCACCTGCTCCCGGCCCCAGGGGAGCCAACAGCTGAGCTCACGGCTGGCATTCACCCAGCCATCCCACACCCGGGGCCCTGAGGGTACACGCACTGGTCAGCCAAGGTGCACACCGTGCGAGTCTGTCTGTGGGTTCTGTGTACCCCTTCAGGTGGCTAGGCACACGGGGAGCAGCCAGTGTGGGCCAATGCTTATCCTATAGCATCACCATCTGCAGTGAGCAGAAAACTGTTCACTGCTGATTGCTAATCACAAATAAGTCCTCTTTATTAGGCAACCTGACCCTGACTGCCTCTGACACCTAGGACGCGTGACTGGTGTACCTGGTGTTGGACTACCCAGTGAGGAAAGCAGGCGTGGGGGCTGGCTTACTTCACTCTGTATCGTTGGAGCCTCCAAAGTGTGTTGTTTGCACGTGTACCCCAAAGTGGGCTGGGTTTCTGTCTGGAGAACTTCTCGGCCCTCCTCCCGAAAGCCCTGCTCAATTCCCATGATGGCCAGGACTTTGCTCACCACGGCTGGGACCTGGGGCTGATGCAGCGTGCACCCCAGCATGTGGAGAACCACCAGGTGGACAGCGTGTCTGCAGTCCCCCCTCATAGCACATGGAAGAGGGCCAAGGGCCCGGAGTGTCTGGGGCTCCCCCTCCCCATGCACTCCAGCATGTGGTTGGCCTAGGGCCAAGGAAGATACCGGAATACCTATGGGACCATCTGGGATAGCCCTGTTTGAGGCCCTGGTGGCAAGGGGCTCGAGGGGTCATCTTGGTGGTCCTAAGTTAGCCATAGCCTCTAGGGACAGGTGCTGAACATTGGGGGGAGTTGAGCATGTCACCTGAGCCAGGTTGGGACAGCAAGGGGCTGTGTCCAACAGTGACCCCATGTGGGGTCCAATAGTGACCACAACCTTGGACAGGCTGTCCTGGGGGTCTCCTGTGGCCTCCTCTCATCTGTTCAAATCCCTTTACAGATGGGGAAACTGAGGCACAGGAGGCAGCCCTGAGGTGGTTAGGCCAGAACTTGAACTCAGTTCTGTGACTTTGGGCCTCTGTCTGGGCCAAGTTGGTTCCCACTGTAGCTACAGGTGAAGCTGGCCCAGGATGGCAGGGAGGGGACCTGTGCCCTTCACTTCCCTGTGGTGCTCCGAGACGCTAGGGGATCTAGTAACAAGGTTGGTGCACTCTGAGGGCCCTGAGAAGCTGGGCTGTTTGCCCAAATGCTTTTGGTTCACCCAACCTCTGCCCTTCCCTGCACATTGGGGGCTCAGATCAGCATCTATGTCCCCAGGTGGCAGGGATCTTGGGACAGAACCCCCTTGTGACCCTGAAATCAGACACATTCTTGGTCATTCTTGGCATCTGTCACTGCGTTTATTCCAAGTGTCTGAAGCTCAGTGGTGGAGACAGTAGACTATGGAAGTGGGTGGTGCTGGCAGCAGGCTGGGGGCCTGGACACTCTGCAGAAACTGTACCCCACTAGGTACACTGGGGTGGGTGGGCAAGTGGTTGGGTTCCTGAGCTCCCAGGAAGAGTCCAGTAGAAGCAAAAGTACAGAGAGGTAGGTGAGCAGGGGTGGGCGGGGTCTGGTCATGGAGCAGGGTTTCTGCAGGGCAGCCGAGGAATGTAGACTCAGAAGCTAGGGGCCTGGCAGGGAAGCCAGGTGGGGACTCTGGGGGCTGGATGTCCCGGCCCATTGTTCCTTGTAGTTGGGTGGACGTGTGGAGTTGCTCCCTGGCCTTTCTCCCGTCTGTACATGGGGGGACCCGGGGTGGGGCTTCAGCAGAAAGGGTGGGTCTGTTAACCCTGGGGATCTGGCATCTGCAGGGCCAGGAAAGTTCGCCTTGTTCTGTGACCTCCCGGCTCCACCTGCTGGTCAGCTGGCTCCAATGTAGCCTCAGCACTCCAGGGATGTCCACCTGCCTCCGTGTGGGCCTGTGGCTCTGTCCCACAGGTCCACCCCACACCCCAGCTGTCTGCTCAGCTGTCTGGCTCCATGGTCCACTCTAGCAGCCACTGTAAGCAGGAAGTCCTCTGTGCCTCTGTTTCCAGGTCTGCTGGGCGGGGTGCAGCAGGGCTGCAAGGTGGAGGGCCGACGGTCGGCTCAGGGTCGGGGGCTGTCTGCAGGGCCTGGATGAGCTTGTTGAGGGGGTGCACCAAGGTGTGGGGGCTCCAGCAGGCGTCCAGGGTGGGCACGAAGGGGTCTGGCGTGCAAGCCTCTACACACTCGGCACCCGTGGGCACCCGTAGGTACAATGCATGTAGCATCATTCGAAAGGGTTGTTCCTCCCGGCCCCCACCCTGACCGTACGTCAAGTCGCCCACCACAGGGTGGCTGAGGGCACTACAATGCACTCGAAGCTGGTGTGTCCGGCCTGTGGCAGGGGGTGGGGAGGGACAAGGTCAGCTGGCCCTCCATCTGTGTGCCTCCATCCCACAGCCACCCACATAAAGGAGAGTACTTCTGGGTCACAGCTGGCAAGGGCAGATCCAGACAGAGCATCCCACCCAGCAAGCCTCCCCAAACCCACAATGAGCCTTAAGGTAGAAGAGAAAGGCCCCACAGCATTTCTGAGGCAGGGATCTTCCCCAGGGGCCGCTCCTGGGCTCACACCACTGATCGTCACGTTACTTCAACCACTGCATCACCAAGGGCACAGGCTCTGCTGGGGTGGGGAACAGCTCTGCCAGGGACTCAGATGGTTCTCGCTCTGTGCCTCTCTTTCCCTCCCAGGGCCCCGAGTTCTCCTGTGGAACACACCTGTGAGTGGCTGCAAGAGCACCTTGGACACTGGGTCCCCTGCATACAGCCCGTGCTCAAGGACTATCAGCTCCGTGAGGCTCGGCTTTGGGTTTTCACAGCCTGGTCAGGAGGACGCAGCCAGTGAGGGTCAGTCACGGCCCGCCACTCCCAGATCCCACCCGCGCCGGGTCCCGTCCAGCGACAATACCTGGTGTGCCCTCGATGCACATGGTGTGGGCACGACCTTCCACACTGCTCTTGCCAATGGCATAGCTGATGGTCATGCGGCTCTCCTGGACGTGACCCCGCACCTGTAGGGCAGGTGAGGCCCACGCTGATCAGGGAGCCAGCTCAGTGGCTACAGAGGTAGAGCAGAGAGGATGGGGTGTCCGGGCTGTGCTGTGGCGCCCACGCCCTGGAGGGCCTTACCAGCGCCAAGTATGCCTTGGTAACACGCCGCTCCTTGAAGCATTTGTAGGCGCTGCCTGCGGCCGCCTTGTTCAAAGCCACACAGAGCGCCCCACTGGTAGAGAAGTCCAGCTGGTGGCAGAACCTGCAGAGGGCAGGGGTCAGCTAAGGAGGCCTTCCTTTCTCATCCTGAGGGCTTGGACGCCTGCCCGCTGCCTCCCACCCGCCCAGCACACCGGAAGCCATAGTAGGTGTCAGGGTCAGCCAGCTCGGGGAAGCGGTGCCTCAGCTGCTTCTGGAGTGTCACAGTCTCACGCCATGTCTTGCTGTCGATGCGCACGTCCCAGTGTTTGTTTACCACCAGGAAGTCGCGGCTTCGGTACACGATGGACAGGTTTTCCACGCTGCCTGGCTCCATGGCGGTGCCTGAGGAGGTGGGGTGGGGCACATCAGACACGCCCCTTCCCCAGTCAGACACGCCCCTCTCTTAG